AAAATTTGCATCCCCCCTGTTTTCATCAAATATGATCCAATTGAGGTGAAACTCATACCAGCAGTTCTTACAACTACTCTGGTCATGTAGGACAAGTTATTTCACTCTTAACTCTTTATTTCTCAGAGTTAGCAGGGGGTGCAACTTTTGGCAATATGGATTTCTAGCTTGCCAAAATTTGCATCCCCCCCTGTTTTCATGAAATATTTTCGAAATGATATTAAATTAATTCCAGTAGTTCATAGAACTACTCTGGTCATGTAGAAAAGGTTATTTCACTCTTAACTCGTTATTTATCCAAGTTAGCAGGGGATGCAATTTTTGGCAATATGGATTTTTTGCTTGCCAAAAATTGTATCCCCTCTATTTTTATCAAATATGATCCAATTGAGGTGAAACTCATACCAGTAGTTCATAGAACTACTCTGGTTATGTAGAAAAGTTGTTTCACTCTTAACTCTTTATTTCTCAGAGTTAGCAGGGGATGCAATATTTGGCAATATGGATTTTCAGCTTGCCAAAAATTGCATCCCCCCTGTTTTCATCAAATATGATCCATTTGAGATTAAACTCATACCAGCAGTTCTTAGAGCTACTCTGGTGATGTAGAAAAAGTTATTTCACTCTCAACTTTGTGTTTCTCCAAGTTAGCAGGGGGATGCATTTTCCGGCAATATGGATTTTGCTCCTGCCAAAATTTGCATGTCCTCTCTATTTTTCTCAAATGTTATGCTAATAACATGGAACTCATAGCAGAAGCTCATACAACTATTCTTCTTATGCAGAAGATGTTATTGCACTCTTAATTTTTTATTTGTACACGTTAGCAGGGGGATGCGTTTTATGGCACAGCCTATTATCAACCTGCCAAAATATGCTTTCCCTCTCTTTTTTCCTCAAATGTTATCCTATTGATATGAAACTCATACCAGCAATTGAGGGAACAAATGTGATTATATAGAAAAAGCTATTTCACTCATAACTGTTTGTTTTTTTAAGCTTGGGGGATGCATTTTTTGGCATAGCAAATTATGAGCTGCCGATATTTGCATGCCCATTTTTTCAGCTCAAAAGTGTCGTACAGATTTGAAAGTCACTCTAGTAGCTCAGAGCATACGTGTCATTGTCTAGAACATTTCATATAACACATTACTATCCTAATTCTCCAAATTGCAGGACATGCATTTTCTGACAATTTTCATTTTGAGCACATTCTCAGATGCTTTCAATAATATTTGATGACAATAGCGGGGATGCAGATTTTGGCAACCTGAAATTCCACATTGCCGGAAAATGCATCCCCTTAACTTGGAGAAACACAGAGTTGAGAGTGAAATAACTTTTTCTACATCACCAGAGTAGCTCTAAGAACTGCTGGTATGAGTTTCATCTCAATTGGATCATATTTGATAAAAATAGAGGGGATACAATTTTTGGCAAGCTAAAAATCCATATTGCCAAAAATTGCATCCCCTGCTAACTTGGAAATTACATTTTTTCTACATAATGACACTTGTTCCCTGAGTTACCACTATAAGTTTCATATGAACAGGACAATAGACAGGGGATGCAAATATTAGCAGGCTCAGAAATTAAAATGCATCTCCCCTACATTAATACACTAGACAGCTAAGCGTAATATAAAATGTTCTACGTAATTGGGATTGGGCCTCGGTTTTGTAAAGTTTTAAGCTATTATGGTGTTAAAAGAAAAATCTTGGAATTTCAAAGCAGCTGCGGAGAACTTGTTCATCAGACACTGAAGAACGTTCGACAAATATGGCTCAGTAAACGTGAAAAAAATCAGTGTTTATTTCAATTAATTTGCGAAATAAAACCCACAATTTTAGCGCTTACATGATTAAGAAACGTGATAATGTTACCAATATTTTTAAAAGTTTCCTCTTCGGTCGGATTTCAGCCCGTTTACTCGTCAATATGCGAGAGTTTAGAGCGATGCGCGCTCCCGCGACAGGGGATGCAATTCTCGGCAGGCATGCATTTCTCGGCATAACACCGGGGACAAAATAATGACTTTCCTATTCCACCCCCTTAGAGATCCTACTAGTAGCAACTAAGAATTAAAAAAGTTCACAAATGTATTCATCTGCTAACGGTGCAACCACTTACCTGCAAAAGGAAGACGAAATAAACATTTGGCTTTAGTGCAACTTGTCATAGCTTGAGCCCTCGTTCTCCAGGGAGACCAATAGTCTTCCAAAAAATATTCGCACACTTTGAACTTTCCCATTTTTTGATTGAATATATTTAAGTGGCAAATTACTTGCTTTGCTAAATATTTCACTTACTGAGAAGCACTAAATACTTCATACTTGGTACCTACGTATGAAGTAGAAAGAAAATGAAAAAAAAAAAAAAACTTAAACTAACCACTGCAGCTCAGTGAGATCGGTTTGTGAACCTATGTTGGTAACGACCGTCCCAACATACCTGCCACACCGACTACTCTATTGCCACTTCAAATGAGAATTCGCTCACTTTATCTTGATCCATTTTCCCTTTAAGACCGACGAGCTTCCGTTCCCCTGCTGAAGCCTCCCTCACATCAGAACACAACGTGGGGAAGATTTTATATTAAGAATGAACCAGTTTAAAAAGTGAAAGTTTGTTCTCAACTGGCCAGAGCGCTTCCTTCCTTTCATATCGGTTATGTTATCGCAAATTGAACACGAGATTCCTCATGGCTTACTGCTCGTCACTCTTCTGTTCAAGTTCAAGGTGAATGAGTAGGTTAGCAAGGCACTGTGTTTGGTTTTGGACTCTAACAACATACGAAAGACTACAATACACAAATGTTTTAAAGTAGTTACAGTGCCTTTCACAGTAAAACACCGGAGTGCCATTAAGTTCTTGTATAAAGGTAACACGATGCAGAACAAGGACACAATGTCTGTGTGGGTCACGGGGATCACACCAGTACAAAAACATCAGAAATTCAAGTTGAATGGTTGTGTGATGAAACTACCCATTGAAATCAGATTGATTTCTCCAATGATGATGTATTGTGATGAATAGTGATATTTTTGGTAGCATTTTTTGGTGAAGTTAGAAAACAAAAGCAGTCAGTGCTGGGTCTCCACCTCCACCACGGTCCAGTCTCCAGCTGGGGAGCTGCCCCGGCTGTCTGGGGAGTAGCTGCTGACGGAGGTCACTGTCGCTGTAGGAGGGCTGAACTGTGGAGGAAGGTTGGGCCACATGCTGCTTTTCAGCGGGCTTAGGCTTCCTCCGCTCCCTACGGGTAGGAGCAGGAGAGGGGGGCACCCTCCATCGCTGGCCAGCATCAGGGACTGGTTGATGAGCTGCTGGACTATGTCCACCTTTCTGTTCCATTCCAGGTTGTGTGGAGCCACCTGTCGCGCAGGCCTCTGGGAGCCCTGAGAGACGGCTTGGGAAGGCAGCGGCCTCCTCCGCCCCACCAGAACGTTCCTGTTTGGCTGCCCGCCGACCTCGTCCTCCTCGTCGCTGGTTTCCATGGCTTCGTAGATGGTGCAGAGGCCAGACGACGGGGACAGCATCACGCCGGTCGGGCTCCTCCTCAGCTGCTGCTGCTGATGGATCTGCTTCTGCTGCATGCGGTACTGGTGCTCCAACTCCAGCTGCCACTGCAGAACCTGCCTGCGGTGACGGTGCTCCTGCTGCTGTTGCTGCAGCTGAAGCTGGAGCAGCTCTCGGCGCTGCTTCTCCAGCTGCTTCTGCTGCTCCAGCCTGAGCCGCTCCTCCTCCAGCCACTGCCTCTTCTGTCTCTCCTGCTCCTGACGGTGCTGCTCCATCCTCCTCAGCTGCTCTCCAATTATGTAGCTGCTCTCAGCGGTGGATTTTGGTGCTAAAGGAGGGGGTGCAATTCTGGAGAAATGCTCCGCTAGTGCCGGATCGATGGGTCTCCTGTTACCCGGCACCAACGCCAAGTAGTGGCCATTGGCTATTGGGGCGCCGGGAGAGTGGTTCTGGTTGCAGTTGTCTTCCTGAGTGTGTGTTTGCCACTTGTAGTCTTCATCCACTTCAGAGGGTTTTGCGTCTCCTGTGAGACAGTGAGGATCACTTGAAGCATCCAGCAGAGATGCATGCATCAAACAGAACAAACAGGTGGTGGAACAAGGGGGCCGAGGAGCAGTTGGACATGAGGGAAGAGGCATAAATGTGAACAGAAGTAGGGCTTTTTAAAATTTAACTGCCTTAAAGATACCACAAACCATACACAGGGGATAAAACAGATCAAAACATGAAAAACCCAAACCTCCCAGTTCAATGCGGCAACCATGCACCTAGTTTACCGTCTGGGGTCAAATCTACAGTTGCGTTGAAGCGGGCGCGAGCCAAATGTCATTAGAAGGTTGTAAGGTGACAAGCCTAAAAGTAGAAGGGCATGAATACAACTGCAAGGCACTCCCATCACTAGTGCATTACGTTCAGCTCAAGCGGATGTTTGCAGGAGAGTTGAGCTAGAGTGGGCAGGTCAGAGGAAATGTTTACGCTCCAACACTTGAATAACACTCAAACTGGTAACAACTTCTTAGGAGGAGCTACTACCATATTTAAACGCAAACCTTTTAACGAGAGCGGTGCCATTCTTCAATTTTCGAGAGCTGATGCCCCTAAATGGATCGATATTTACCTCTGGAGTTGATTGAACGTTAACAGTAGACTGAAAAAATATACAACGTAAACTTCTGGTGGCGTTGAAGTAGAACTAAATGTGACATTACAAGAAGTTATTCCCTGCAACCATGATAGATGAACCACTGTGATTCCTCTTTATTACCTCTTAGATTTGGCCAAAATTCCATTTCATATACACCATTGTGTCATGTCGCATCGCTTCCTGTTTATCCGTTATTCCCAGATGAAGAACAGAGGATGCCAGGGGGAGGGAATCTTGTTGCACAAACACCACTTTACAAACACACATGGCCACTGGAACACGAGGACACAAAGTTCAGGCATGCTGGACCCATTGGGAAAGTAAGAAACAGGAACAAAAATGCCTTGCAATGATGTTTTAATGGAATTTTGAAAGATAACCTAATGTCAAACCATTTAGTTCTGAACATGTCTACTGTTGAATTGTTTCAAACTTCAGGTATTACAGAGTGGGTTTTTTTGTTAGTTAAACATGCAATATACTGTTGAAATAGTAAACCAAAAGCTTGCTATGAAAACGTTCGAGTATAAAGCTAGACTGTGGTAGCCATGTAGGGTTATGCGGGGTGTTATTAAATAATGCGCTACTTGTTGTCCTGTTAAGACACAAAATGATGAGCTAACAAAATGCCTGAAGAAAACCTGAAGCAGATACTGGAAGTGACTGCAACCTATGCAAATACAATAAGCATAGAACCTCTTGAAGCACACGTATACAACGCCACTGACTGCAATCTAACTAGGGCTGTCCCAAATACAGTTTTTGAGGCTTCAAAGCTTTATTGGAAATGATCTGGAGTCAGTGGTGGTTCTTGATATGGAGCGATGTGGCTCTTCACCCAGGGCAGCACTACCAATCAGAAAAACATGTTCCAAGAGAGAGTTTTCTATTGCTTTGTGCGATGTCAAGGCAGTCTGTTGTTACAGAAATGGATATCCGATTAATACCACTCTGGAACTAAATTAAGGATCACTTTACAATTTTTAAGAGAACTTATAATTCCTTGAATTAGCTTTAGATAAAAATGATCAAACCTGAACTCGATTATTCTGTTGACATATTACAGATTAGATCAACAATTCAGAACCTTTGATGCTGAGAATCGTCTCTCTCACCAGAGCGCATTAGTTGTGGTGGTGGAACTGATTACGACGCAGAGGAAGGGGCTCGCCAAGGGTACCATTCATCCAAGAACCGCCAATGTCTGGATGCACTTATGAAAGCTTGAATTAGCAGCTCACATCAACACTTGCAAGTATAAATAGCGTGATCTCAACCTTAGTGGTATAGTACATGAAGGAAAACACAGAATCCACGTATTTAAGTCCAAATTTGGACATCAGTAATGGCGGCAAAACAACAAAGCATTTGGGTCAGCCCTATCTCTAATCCTCCCACACCTACCTCATTACAACTGTAAAGGCAAAACCAGCAGTGTTAATACCTAACCTTTATTATTAATATAGCTAAAAGTCTTGGAACAAGAACAGAAAGGTTTTAAAAGGAATATGTGACTATCGCTATAGTGCAGAACACAAAGTGTGCACACAGGGTAGGGAAGACCAGGTTTAACAAAAACAAACCCAAAAAAACCCAAAACAAACAACAACGAAGAAACAAAACAAGTAAATACAAAAAAAAAAAAAAATTCATTGACATTTGTTTGGTAAAAACAGTAGGATAAATACACAATGAGTCCATATCTTTTCATCTGTTTTTTTTTTTACTCCTTTTTCTCAGTTTACAGGCCCCGTCACAACGGACCAATCAGTCAATACCCCGCAAGGGGCAACAGAATATGCAGTGTTACTTAAAAAGAACATTCCACTAGAAAAGGTAGTAGCTATGGTACATTACGGAGTTTTAGCCATACGCTCAAAACATGGACCGGAACGGTAAGAAAGAGGGAGGCTTCATTTAAAAATTGCTACAGTCATTTTTTTCCGTCTCCTTCGATCATTTTTCAAAAATTGTTTTCTACAATCTTGGTCTCCTTTTTTTTCTGCTAAGACGTCTAACCAGAGAAGAACAAATAACGTAGGGGGAAAACGGGTAGGGTTGCAGGAAAAAGGTGCATTCCAGGGACGATAGGGGGTCTTATACGTTACCTTCCAGAAAACTATCAGTCTTATCACATATGGTGGAGAAGTACGGTGTCAGGTTGTCGGCGTCTCCACATTCCTGGTCCACCAGGTCATCGCTGCCCTCCAGTGGATTCGCCTTCTCCCGATGACCTGCGGTGTTTCCTCCGAGCAGGAAGTGGTGGTGCTCATCCAGACCGGGAAAGTCGTCTCCCTGGTGACCCAAGGGGATGAGGTCCACGGGGTTCCCGAGGAGGTCCTCAGCCAGGGCCGCAGCAGCAGATGAAGGCAGGGTCAGCTCCTTGATGAGGGAGGGGTCCTTGGCCTCCTCCGGAAGCTGCTCCTCATTCTCAAGGGAGAAGATGCCAGGGCTCTTTCCGCAGCTTTCTGCCATTGAGTGGGCATTGGAGTTGGACGTTGTGCAGTCAAAGCCATAGGATGCCACAGAATTGGCTGACTGAGGAGTAGCTCCACCTCCGTCCTCTTCACCCTCTCCAATAGCTGGATCTCCTGCCTCCACATCCTCCTCCAGAGCTGGCAAGCTACCGGTGGGAGGAGGGCTTTCCATTGCAGCCCCTTCATCCAACGTCATCGAAGCCTCGGGGTCATTAATCTGTATCTCCCCCTCCGTGTCACTGGCCTCATCACCGGAGGTAGACGGGGACGAAGGGACTGACGCAGGAGCTGTTGGGGGTCCTGTTCCTAGCACCTCATCGGCAGGAAGAGTCTCGGCCTCTTCCTCCTCTCCATCACCTTTCTCCAAGTGAATGCCGAGATCCTGGTCCACGTCAGGCTGAAGGGACGCTGGTATCGGGGTCTGCTGTTTATCAGAGCGGGACTCTACTCCAGAGCTGCTGTCATAGTCACGGAGATCCTCCGGAGTGCTAGTCTCGCTGCCGCTGTGAGCGGACGGGGCGGTCCCAGTCGGAGTGTCGGCCCGGGGCATGCCTACAGTCGGAGCGGTGAATAGGTCATGATGGTGCTGGGGAATCTGCTCTGTCTGCAAGGGGAATGTCGGTGCGCTACCGTCAACACACGCCTGAGCGGGAGACTGGGTTGGCGTCTCGGATTCGGCTGCGTCATGGTCTGATACGGGGCTGGGAGAGGACACAGCAAGGTGGGACACTGGTTGAGTCCAGGTATCTGAGAAAGGGTTTGTCTGACCCCAAGAGGATGCAGGGGCAGCACTAGACAACAGACCAGAGTGGGTCAAGTTATCCAACTGCTCTTCCTCGTTAAAGTCATCATCGACATTCCCGCCACTCTCCGTCACGCCTTCGCTGTGCATTTCCACGTCTTCGTCCTCCTCCTCGTCTTGTTTGTGCTCCTGGAACACTTTGTGATGCTCCTCGGCTTGCTCAGAGCTCAAGTCCATATCGTCCACCCGCTCGTCGTCTTCATCCTCCTCTTCTTCATTGGCAAGAGTTTCCACATTGGGAGACCCCATGAGATTACCATCTCCTTCGGAGCCCCTGAGGCTGGAGTCGATCAAGGCGTCTGAGCTCTGAGTGCCCTCTAAGATAGCGGTGTGCTGAGTGCTGCTGAGGTCGGACACCCCCTGCTGCCGGCTGCTGGTGCAGCTGCTCATGTCCTCGGAGTCCATCCCAGACAGCAGGTCATCACCATGCCAACCTCCAAATGCTGACGACCGTGCCTGGAACTCATCCGAATGCTGAGAGGTACTCATGTCAGTGACCAAGGATGAAAGGTGGTGGCCTGGTCTTCTCTCTTCCTCATATTCCTCCTCATCATCGTCATCCTCATTGATCTCCGCATCAGCCTTTTCCACCTCCTCCTCCTTTCCATGAGAAAATGCAAGGTCATGGTGAATAAAATCACCCGAAGCAAAAGCACCAAAATTGTGAGGTTGTCCAACTCCTCTGTAAGGGCTTCCTCATCTACTTCCTCTTCATCATCATCTTTCTCATCATCTTGTGCCCCTTGAATTTCGTATCTTTTTACATTGTCCTCCTCTGCTTGGAATGTCATCACATTAAGCAACGTCTGGGGTACCAGACCAGTAGGAGACTGGTTCCTGTTCCAGGAATCAGACGGAGCATCAAAGTCCAAAAGAGAGGAGACATTCTGTGATTCTCTAACAGGCGAGGGAGGGACTGGCGGGGAGCAAGGGGGAGACATGACAGTTGTTCCTAAGGAGGGAACAGAACTGTTGTCTTCAAATTTATAAGAGATCATCTGAGGTGACATCCGTACACCAGTGGCTGCTTCACTTCCTTGCTCAGGAGTTTGCTCTTGAAGTTCAGGAGTTGGTTCCCGCACAGGCTCTGGTGTTGGTTCCCGCACAGGTTCTGGTGTTGGTTCCCGCACAGGTTCAGGTGTTGGTTCCCGCACAGGTTCAGGTGTTGGTTCCCGCACAGGCTCAGGTGTTGGTTCCCGCACAGGCTCAGGTGTTGGTTGTCGCATCTGAATGGGTTCAGGTGTTGGTTCCCGATGCTGAATGGGTTCGGGTGTTGGTTCCCGATGCTGAATGGGTTCGGGTGTTGGTTCCCGTTTCTGAACGGGTTCTGGTGTTGGTTCCCGTTTCTGAACGGGTTCTGGTGTTGGTTCCCGTTGCTGAACGGGTTCTGGTGTTGGTTCCCGTTGCTGAACGGGTTCTGGTGTTGGTTTCCGCATGGGCTGTGGAGATGGTTCCCGTACAGCCTCTGGTCTTTTCTCGTCCTCTGCTTTGATAGTGGGCTCAGATGGCTCCAAATCATCTTCTGCAGGAGGCTGAGACTCCTCTGGGTTTGCAAAGACAGAGGCTGCGGTAGCGATGGTTGCAGCAGCAGCAACCACTGCAGCAATTTCTTTTCCTCGCTCAATCATTGTTGCAACTTTAGGACCACGTTTGACAGGAGTAGGAGTGGTGCTTCCCACAGTCTTTTTGGGACTGGGGACCTTATTTGTCGCTGTTTTGCTGCTTGGGGTCTTGGAGACATCCTTGGAAGGTGTGGACTTACCCTCTTGTGGCTTGGAGCGGTTTGGTGTCTTTGTTTCAACAGCTTTATTTGTGGGAGGCTTTTTGGAGGCAACATCTGATTTTGTCTTGGGGGCCTCAAGTTTAGCAGGCTTCTTTGCTGGAGGGCGAGCGAGAGGGGATTCTGCAGATTTTTTGGCTGCTGGAGGGGATGGTTTGGTCACATCTGGAAAAGTCAACACAAGAAGAAATTACACAATGAGAATTGTTAACCCCAAGTATAACAATAAGATGTTATCCTTGGGTTTTATGTTTCGATACAACACTATATGGTTAAAGTCTACACTCTGGAATTTATTTATTACATATTATGTATTAAGTCTTTTATGTTAGAGCAAAAATAATTAATACATTTAATGTTTACAAATGTGTCAAAAAATACTTGTTTTTGTGACCTTTTTTCACAGGGGTTGCATTTCTTGACTGTGATGCAGGAGGTTTGCCACCAGAGGGGGTACTGGTGGTTGATTTGGAAGTAGCAGGCTTGGCAGAGGTGGGGGCAGTTTTAGGAGTGGCAGGTTTGGATGTAGCTGTGAAGTTCTTGGGTGTGCTGGCCAATGGAGTTGATCCGGTAGCCGGTCGAGATGAAGCTGCTGTGGGCCTGAGGAAACACAAAGAAGACTATTTAGCATCTCTGCATGAAAATCATAGTTATTTCCACTTTGTTTCACTGATTTCACTTCCTTTTAGATCTTAATCTGTTGAACAACCCCGTCCTTCCTGTACATGTCTAAAGTCTAAAGTACTGTGAACAGTTTGATTCTACAACCAACTCTGACCTCGTTTCAACTATCTTGGTAATTCACCAGTACAATTTTTTTTATATTGAAGTCAATCTATGCTTACAATACAAATTATTTAAAGTAAAATAATTTTATCTTGCTTTTTACTTCCATTAGTCATATCCTATGCAAACGGTTTTTCACTAAATAGAAGAGGGCTACTAAAGTTTGATAAATCATTTGAAGGAAAATTAAACTGCACATCAGGAGGGCATCCATTTAAAGATAATCTGCCATTAAAGCACTGATTTAGAGCCTACTAAGACCCAGCTGACTCTTCTTGAGCCCCATTACACACTCTCATGAGAGATAGGGAAAAGCTACATGGAAGATGAATCACAACAGACCCTAGAGACGTATCCTAACCCCACAGCAATTCTGTTCTTCTGCGCACTCGGCACTTCTCCCTCCCTCCCCATCAGGGGAATGACTCTTGGGGCACCAGGCATCAGCCCCCCCTGCTCCAGCCGTCCTGGCCTGGAAGCTGGCTTGTATGTCACTTCTGAGCAAAGTAACCTACATCTAGCAGTCCTGACAAGGCTGTGGTGTGCCATCTCCTGGGTCCACACTGCACTTACTGCCTGTTTCTAAATAAAGAAGTGAGTTAGCGCTGGCAGAAAGAGAACAGGCGACAGGCGGAAGGTAGGGAGAAGATGGCTGGGACTACGTTAATTTTTAATACTAAAAGGAGAACAAAAATAACCTTTTCAAGTCCTCCCAGTTAGACGCGAGCACTACTCTAAAAGCAGAGCTATTGGGTTCTCCTCACATATAGGCAAAAGCAATGAAATTCATCAAAAACCAAACAAACAGTTGGCAGAAGAACACCAATGCCCAAGTCCAAGCAAGATTTTTACAAATGATCCACATAAGTAATTGTTAGTAGATTAGTGGTAGATTAGAGGCAGTGTCTTTCAAAAGTTTTAGTACTGAAAAATGTATCAATGTGTGCAGAATACCAAATTAAAAGGATTACTTTTTCTAGCATATATTTTAGCCCAAAGATCGACTTTCACTTATAAGTGCACTGATTGAAGTTTTCTGGTTATTACCAATTATTAAAAAGCCTGACCTGCTGATGACTCGACACTGTAGGATAGGATGGCTCTCAAACATGCAAACATGTTTAAACATGTTTAAGAGCCAACATGGTTTTTAACAAAATAAATTTTTGAGTAGTAATATGAAAGCCTCTTTGTTCCATGAACAGCACATCAAAGTCCACACAGAGGATCTGTATTCAGCTTCAGTTATTTTTCAAAGAATGGACAAAAAATTTTGTCACTAAAATTTAAAAACCCAGAACAGGCAACAAACTGAAGAACCTGGTAGTTAACAAAATAGAAACTTAAAAATTTCAACTTCAATTGAGTGATTGTTTTTAATTGTGCCACTAAAATTAGAAAGTTAAAAATCTTAAGTTACAAGGTTAGAAGAATGAGGACAATAACAAGATTAAAAAAAAACCGGCATCATGAGAGATGAAGGCTTCTAATTGGATATTCAGGAAGAGCGATCATCATAATCTGTGCGATGAAGGGAATACAGATTATCCAGACAGGCAGGGTGACTATAACAAGCTCTGGATTTAATATGGTCACTGAGAGAAAACGGCAAGAGAAGGACACTCTTTCCTACGGATCATGCAAAAAAAATAAAAAATAAAGTTGACATTTAGTCCATATTTTTGTCCTATTTTGCTTTTTATTACCAATTATTAACAATAATAGGGGAGGAAGAAAATTATTAACTATCATTGTTCTAAAGTTTTTCATTAGTTTTGACATGTGTCTAACTATTACCAGTCTCTGTACAACTGAAAGCAAGACAAAAAAGCTGAGCAGATTACTGTGACAAGAGTTCACTTAAAAGCACTGGGATTGTGTATTTTGAACCTTGCGCCAGGTTATCTGATGAGGAGGTGAGCGATCACACCAACACCCAGCTAATGGTTCAATGTCATGGACACAGCCTCATCTTCACAGGGATATCTTCAGGTCAGATTACACCATCTGTTGTTTACACCGCAAGTCCTCCACCTTTTACTCTTGCTGCTCTTTCTTTGCTAACTGGCTGTGTGGTGTGAATGCCTGATGGACTGGAGCTAGAGACCGTTATGTGCTCCTGCAGCCACACCTTGAAGAGAGGTTATGTCCGTTTCCCTGAATATTTGACTTTCCAATAAGCACTGTTTGGAAAACTTTGTCTCTGTGTCAGCATTTTCTATGGAGAAGTCAGGTTGGATGTGTAAAAGTGGTAGTAGAGAACCCTAAAACATATAAAGATATTTATGTCGTAATGACAACCATATACAGCTTCAGTAAACCTATAATCTCATTACATTACCTTCAATCAGTTATTTCCTAATGACTCCTGAATTGCCCTCAGACCATCACAGACTGACATCCTGTGTAATCTGAGATTAGAAGTAGTTCACCGCAACTGCTACATTACAGTGATGCTTCACTCTATAATTAAGTTCACCGTCAACTGAGTGACTGACAAGCACCCCAGAGCGTTTTGTTTAAATTATGGGCCTGCTTTTACCTCAGAGGAAAATCTGTCTTCATTGTTTCCATCTTACCACAGACCTTCCACAGAGACGCACCATAAATTGAGGTTAAAGCTAATTTTGAACATAACACCCAGAAAGGCACTGGAGCTGAAAAATCGTGTATTACTCAGTCAGCTAGTCGCTCCCGGCCCACTGATGCACAGAGCAGAACACTGAAAGTTCGCCTTGTTTGCCTCAGGATCGCTGACGACATTTTAGCTTAATGCAGATCTGCGCGCGCGCTTCCAAAGAGCTGCAGATGTACTGCTGACTTTGAACCGGGCTGCCTGCTGGGGATCCTGTGTTGCCACAAAATGAGACAGAGGCAAATGCGTATGTAAAAGAAAACTAAGACTTAAGGCGTCTCCTTGCAGCAGAGACAACTATAACAACAGCTATAAATTAATTAACTGTCTAAATAATGCTTAGTACCATAAAAGTGGCTTTATCCTTTTTTTGGCTTTAAATTGGATCAGTGAAGTAAAATTTTACTTGAAGTTCTACTTCTTAATATCAGTAGAACTAGACTTTAAATGAAACTAATGTGTAAATGTTTCTCAGTTTTATTTATTTATAATAACAATGGTTTCTCAGTAATTTTGCAAAGAATATAATAGAAATTATTAAAAAGAAGCTTGAACTTATTCACATTTGTGACATTGTGGCATCAAACTTTAATGCATTTCCCTTGAATCTTATGAGAAATAAACAAAAAGGACAGAATCATTTTTTTCTTACACCCGCCCACCCCCCAAAAAGCTTAGCTTCACTGTTTGCTGGTACTGACCTACTAGCAAAATGCTAAACTTTTCTCTCGGGTCAGATATTTCTATCAATTTGTGCTAATATAAAATCACTAGACAGATTTCAAACAGCGTTTATGTTCTCATACAGAACATTTAAAATCAGTCAGTGAATATCAATGCTACTTGGCACAGCAATTGGCAATCAAACACATTGCTAATTTTAGCAAAACATTTTTAATAAAAGGAAGCAAGGACAAAATGCTTTCAATAAAGCCTTTTAAAAAGTAACAATGTATAATAGCTTATTTTTAAACGGCCCACTGATTTCAACTGTGAATAGAACAGACGTGTATGCTGTAAGTTTTTATTCTTCTGAGAGAAACTTCCACTTCGGTTATTAAAAATCTGAGGATGATCACAAACTTAGTTAAAATTGGTTTTACTTCAGTTAGCAACTATGGAATTAGCCGAAATGAAATCTGGAACCAAATGTTAATCCCAAGTAGAGCACTTCCTCATTCACTTTGGATTATTTAAAATCAGTGTACTCACAGATCGGAGTGGCTGTCCATGGCTTTTAAACCATAATGGAAAACAAACAGTCAAAGATCAACACCGTTTTGGTCAGATTTCACGATTTTTTCTGGACTCCGCTGTTGCAGCGCGCGGAGATCTGCGTCGCTCGGTTGCAGCGACGCTCCTGCTGGTGAGAATCTGCTTAGTGTCACCTTAAATTGGTATTCTTCCAGGATTACACAGTATTTAGCTCCATCCATCTTCAGATCAACTCTGATTGGCTTCTCTGAAGGGTGCATTCACAATTAGGCGCATGTTAGTTTTTCTCCACAGGCCATTTTGGGTATAGATCAGAGAGCAGCTTTTGTCGCAGGTCAGCATTGCCCCCTACATGGCAAACTGCGGCGGGGACTTCTTCTAACTTTCTTTCGACAGGGACATTCTTCTTGCCGCCCTTCCAAGGGAGCCGGGTTTATGGAGTGCATGACTCAGCTCCTCTAGAGTCATCACGGGCCTCTTGGCTGCTTCATATATTTGTTCTCTCCTTGCCCACGCAGTCAGTTTAGGTGGACGCCCATGGGCTGGTAGGTTTTCAGCTGTGCCACGCTCTCTTACCATGCGACTTCTAAGGACGTCGGTTATAACGGAGTGTAATTACTGGTGTGAAAGTAAAAGGGGTCTGAATCGCTTTGTTGACTTTAAATTGACAAATAAATGAGAAAAACTGCGCGTTAAAGTACATATTTTGTAAATGTTAAGCTTATATTTCAAACAGAAATATAAAAGCATATCTTCTCGAGCGGTCCTAAATATCTCCATTATGTCTGCGGTTCACGTGAAACACCCACATTGTTATTGGCACAGCCAGAAGTGTGCCAATTCATTCCAACCTAATCCATTTAGTAATTGGCTCTGCGGCCGCATCCTGAAATAATCGCCCCAGAGCGAGACTGCGTCGCAGAGTTACTGGCCGCGCCCACGCTATGACTGGAGATTTACTGCCTGTGCAACATGGCACCTGCTGGACGGTGGACCGCTGAACAAGAAGCCCTTCCTGCTGCTGCTTACCGGGCACTCACCAATGTCAGAGCATTACATCAACTTAATTTGTTGAATCGTGAGGGCGGCATTCAATCCACTCCAATAAAAATTTATCATCCCTCAGGGACCATCAGTGGAGAAAAGGAGCATGACTAATGTAGGAACATGGGCGGTGATGTTTGCACGCTAAAGTCTGAATGCCCCGGTATCCTCTGCTCTACAGCCGCTTCATCCTCGCCTTCCTCTCTAAACCGCTTTCCATCTTTCATTTTCCTCATTCTCTCTGCCTTCTACAGGTCTCTTCCTTTCATGCAACCATTTTGATTTCAATTTGCTTCCATGTATCCAAAGATAGACTTAAATGCCCGTGTGTCCAGAGAGCCAGCATGCCCGTCTGCCTCCCTCCCCCACCTTTGCCTTCCCATCATGCAGAGTATTACACCGGCAGATGAACTCATGCCCTGCATAGTAATTGGCTTCTATTCCTCTAATGCAGGTGCACCACACATCCTGTCTACAGTGCCAAAGAGCGGGAGAATCCTTTTGTAGCCTCTGTGCTGTATGAAAACCCTGCTGTTTCTGTAAGCTAGGCAGGATTTATCCCTTCAGCTCAACATAAATACCAAAAACAGACAGAAAGCATTGAAGAAGTCATCGACACAAAAGGCTTCATGTACAAAAGTTGAGCTCTCATTCAAATGGAAACCAGTAAAATCTATTTAAGGCGTAAACCCGATTAAATTCAACAAAAACCTAATACATTAGCGAGTTGTTTGGAATTAGATTGATGCCACTTATTGAACCTGTTTGAGCTGAGCACTTTTATCTGTTGGATAACAAGAACCTGCTTTGGATTCAATTAAATCAGCTGCACTTTCAGAGGAACACTAAGCAAACAGAAGCTCAGACTTCATCTTCAGTTGTCTGATAACGGCCGCATTAAAAACCGAGCGAGTTAGGAAAAAAGGGCAAAATCGAATTAAAGCTGAAATTTATGGCCCTGTCAAAGCCCATGACAGGACACAAAAGCTGACGCACGTCACGCCAAGAGTGCCTTCGAGGGTGCACAGGGCTGTTTGAGGAGCCCATCAGTAGTAGTTATGGCTCTCTCTTTGGGATGTAGGTCAGCAGCAAGAAAATCCTCCTCTAGGTCTGAATATACAGCACATCTGAAAAGTATCCGCAGCGCTTCACTTTTTCCACATTTGTGTTACAACCTTATTCCAAGCTGTATCAAATTAATCTCTTTACAGAAAATTCTTCACAAATACCCTGTTACGATAATGTGGGGGCTGAGGGGTGAAGTTTTTAAGGTTTTTGTAAAGTTATATATAAAAAAAATCACATTTACGTAAGTGGAATCAGTATTAACATCGAACTTCTACAGAACTTAACATTGTAAGAACCTAATTACATCAACTGAATCACGTTTATATGTGTACAAAAACAGTGAGTGTGTGTGTGTCGCCAGGTTGTTTTTCCTTTAAGCTGGAGGCTGACCTATATGTACCGTGATTGCTTTGCATTTCTTGACAATCTGTGCTTATTTTTAAGTCAGTATCAACTGAATACTCTCCTTAGGTTGGGAGAAGTCAGAAGGGTCAGTGTTGTTCCTCTGGAGCAGCTGATGCTGTTAATTAATGGAAGTTGTTTTGTCTGTATTACCGTTGGGTTTGTTTGTTTAACGAGGTCATCAGCAGAGTAGCAAATAGCATCATTTTTCTGCATGTATTTATTTGATTTCTCTTAGGGGGAAGTAAATTAACGAGTCCGGTCCATTTTCCGCCGTTCGAGGCAGATTTGGAATTAGCCTCAAACATTGCTAATCAGCATTTAAGCTACCCTAGTTTTCAAATGAGCAGACGATAATGGGACAAATACTGGAGGAACACAATAACCTTTTCAGCCGTACAGAGTGAAATCATCAGGACAGTTTGTATGTGCTGCTCAGCTACGGTCCTGCGCTACACAAGCGATTACCAACGTGACCTGGTATAATTCTGTGTAATGAGATGTTTGCACATCAACCATTGTATGAAGCAGTAATCTGAGTGTAATCTCCACAATCCAGCTGCTACACAGGGCACAAGGAGACGAGAGAGGAGGGCGGGGGAGGGATTTCAAACACCGGACTCACGGTGACAGGCTGCTTGGTGTGAGTTAGAGGACTCACACCAAGCAGCCTGTAACAATAACACAAAAAAACAAAACAAAACAAAACAAAAAAACAACACTTCCACATTTTCACTAGGGTACTTTATTTCTACTTCAATGTTTTACAGCAATAACTTTTATTCTGCATTTGAAAAATCATGCTGGGTGATTTCTGTTATAACTGCAGATTTACTTCCATCTCTGACGATCTATCAAAAATGTTTTATGTTTTTAATTTGAACGTTTTTGCATCTTACTACACTTTGGGTAATGGCTATGAAAAGCAGCTGGAGAGTTAAAGCGGGGTGTGTATCAGAGTACTTCTGAAATCTTTTCAAACTCACTGAGGACATTGCTACTGGTGTGAATATAATAATATTTATTTGCTCACAGTTTGTGGCCGTTTTTGTAGAAATGCACAATGGCTTCAGAAATTGGTCTTGACCGATTACTTTGCGGGCACAAAGTTAGAAAACTCCAACTCTCTTTCTCAGAAGTAAACACATCACACTTAAATGCAATTTGAATGATTACAATGCTTCGTTATTGTGCCGACGGCATATTTTGATAGATTATATATTATTTTAAATCTCAAACCATGAGTGATTTGTGGGGAATTCTTAACTTTCTGTTTTCTTTTTCTGAATCGGTATCTAGTTCAACAATGTGCCAACACGCACACATGCAGACCAACAAAATAACATACCAGAGAGGAAAAGAGAAGTTACTAGTTTCCCAAACAAACCAGACTCCCAAAGGCTCTATCTGATCATAACTCAGATGTGGACAAAGACTTCATTCAGCCTCATGTCCTCACCTACCATGGAGCCACCTCAGGATCTAACATCATGCACACAGTGTGACTCAGGTGAGGAACACATGTTGGTCTGATCGCCACACGAAAACAACGCACCGCCGCACAAGAACTCACAACAAGTGTTGGGTTTAAAGAAGCAGCTCCGCTGAAAGGATTCTGTTGTTCCCCATCCCGTTTTAAACTCCTCCCTCCAAAAACTTGTTTTATTAATAAAGCTGAATAATGCTCGCTCTGATGAAACCCTGCGAGGCATTCCTCTCAGGCTTGTTCCAACACTGACTGCCTACTGGCCTACTTATGCCTGGCTTCCATGTGGGGGATCATTGTCCTTCGTTCCTCCAGGGAGTTCTTTCTTTAACAGAATCCTCTTTGAACCAGCAGCCAAATTCAAGCCTTTTCAACTAACTGATGTTTACTGTAATAATCGTCAGTCTCTCAGCCAATGAAATTGGATTATTTCTATCAGATGGGTGGACTTACTGATTTGCAAAAGAAAAAGTACACTTTCCTGAATAGTGCTTGAATCATTTTTACCTGGTTGCTTTGGAAACCGGGGGTTTATCCGTCTTGGACGAGGCAACTGAGCTAGTCTTGGTTAGAGCTGCAGAGGCGGGTTTGGGAGCTGGATGAGACAGGGATGAGAAATTAATGTTAGGAGGACATTATTCAACAGTGCAGACTTAAATAGTTGGCTTAAGTCACAGATTTAGGTCAGGCAGATGTTTCTTTTACAGACTATGTTTTATAGACTATTATTGTTCAGTAAGAGTCAACTTGACATGTGTAATGTCCATAAAAATCCATGCAGTGCGTAGGTATTGTATTATTGCATATCACTAAACAATGCTTGCTTAAATAGTGCAGAAAAATGTGTGATTATACTTACAGAGCCTTGCAAAAGAAATCATGCCCTTTAAAATTGTCACATCAACTCATGTTGCATAGCATAGCTGTAAATAGCTGCAACTTAAAAACAAACAACAAAACACCCCACAAGTTGGAATCAGCATAGAAACACAACCAACCTGGTGGCTTTTTTGCAGTAGCAGCAGCAGCAGTGGATTTTAGCCCATTAGCAGTGCTGGATGTTGTCTTTTTGGCTGCTGGTGCTCCAGTTGTTGACTTTGTGCTGTTGGTAGCAGGGAGGGTCCCTGGAGCCCTTTTCTCCCCAACTTTAGTTGTGGTCTTGGAAGTTGGTGTTGCTGCTGCCCCAGTTGGTTTTTTGGCGGCAGCAGAGGTCGGGGTGCTCTTTTTATCTGCAGCTGGTGTCGTCTTCTTAATGACGCCATTCGTCTGAGGCTTCGACGTGCCGTTCGACAGACGGGACACATTGGAACGTGGGCCGGACGGAGTCTTGGGCGAGCTCGTGGCGCTGAGTTTTGTCTTGGGAGTGGCCTTGTTGGTAGCCTTGGCTTTAGCGTCGCCGGAGGCCTTGGCGACCGCCTTGGCAGCGGGGGTTACCTTAACCTGATCTGCCGTTGGCTTCGCTTCGTTCACATCTCCAGCTGGATGCTGCAGCATCTCCCCAGCTGGGATTTCCACGAGGTTGGGCTCCGGCTCTGCTGCCGGCGCCGGCTCATTTGCTGGATCCGAGTCCAATGTTTCCATTGGCTCCAGTGCTGCCGTGGCAACCCCATCCGGCTTCATCTCCCCTTCGAATGATGGTGGCAAGACCGGTTGACTTGAATCTCAGAGGACAACGTCAGCTCAGGAGACTTTCTGAAGAGTGCGGGGACTAATCTGGAATAAGAATAGAGAATATTTAGAGCAGAGTTAGACAACAACAAGACCAGGCATGAAACACGTCTGGCTTCACTATCAGGATTTGAAGGAATGTTTGTAGCTTCAGGAGTCAGATAAGGCAGGTGGTGCCATTTTAACCACCACACACTAAAGTACAATATAAGTATTATATATCAACTGGATGTGCAGAGTCATGTAAATTACAAGTCTAATTAGTTAAGTAACATATCCAAACAAACAAAAAAGTTAGTATTTTAAAGTACTTTTTTGTGAAGTTTTGACTTTATAGGACAAATCTGCAAGAGAAACAAGGCTTTTCAGCTGATCGGCGAAACTTAAAGGCTACATTTAATTGGTGTAAACCTGTCAGATCAATATGTTTATGGGGCGAAAGGGGAACAACAAGAAGGGCAACAAGTCTGCTGCAGAACAGAACGAGCCTATTCTACAAATTGTCTACATTGATCTCGATGCCAACTGGACTGCAGTGCTGAACAACCCCCCAGTGCGCTGCTTAAAAAGCTCAGCGACACAGTTGGCAAAAGTAGCGCTCACTGGTTGTGTTCTTCGTTTTCTGTACAAAGTGGAAGAGGAGTCACTGGTATCAAATAGTTTTCTAGGATTACACTGCATGGCAAGACGATTCGCGCCTTGCAAACATGTTTACATGTAATCTGTAATGTGTTTCATGTTGGAAACAATTATAATGTAGAGGGACAATCGTTTAGAGTTCTAATTTTTTTCCAATAAAATTTGAAAAGTGCTTAGTAAAAGAGCACGGAAGTATAAGAAGTAAAGTATTGATTAAATTCAAGTGGGCACCACAATTTTCTGACTTTTTAATCTAGAAAACATTTTGCACACCACATACCTACCTTTTGAGAACACAAAAATATGCCACTGATGTTGATCTGTTTCATAACATTTTAAGTAAACCACAATAACGTTTTTAATTGTAGTAAAAAGTGAACAAAAAAGGCAGTACATGTATTTACCACCAACTCAAATTTAAGACTTCTAAAGACCATTATGAATGGAATTTAACACCTCTATCTCCAGGTGAAATGTGCAAACCTCATCCAGCCAACTGGTGACATATCTGCACATTTACTTCTTTAGAATCATAAATGCTAGCTAGGTAGCAAGGGTATATTAGCAGTGAGTTAATAGCAGCCGCAACCGTCTTGAGTCACAGAAAAATGAAGATGTCTGAGAGTGACTCAAACTTTTTCCTGACAGAAAAATCCAGGAGGAAAAACAAGTCAAAGAGCATATGAAATTATATAGTTCTTTCAAGACAAAATTATAAGACTTGTAATTAACATATTCAAACTTTTACAAAATGAATTTAAGACATTTTAAGACCTTAACTTCAGATGCATGACTATACATTTAAGACTCTACAGGAAGTGCTATACCTTGATAGATATGGGAAAAGTTTTCAGGAAAAGAAGAATTAACAAAAAGAACATGGAAATCAAACACTGCATGCTCTGAGGCATCAGAAATGGCCCAGCTGCTTCAAGTACAGCACATAGCCAGGGGAGACTGAAGGGTAACAGGAAGCTGGCCTGTCGAAGTTTACAAACAGCTTTAGCAGCCGGCTGTGCAGGAAGTTAAGCAGCGAGACAAACACTCAGGCAATCCTGAGGCCAGCGAAGAGGAAGACGCTTGGCCTGTGGAGCCTGGGAACAGAACCGGGAAGGTGGGAATGGACGGAGAACTGACGAGACGAGGAAAAAACAAGGCATAAAATGAGCTCACTGCTGGCTGCCTGCTCCCACTTTAAAATCCAGACATCGCGATTCCTCCTAGTTTCCACTGTCCTGAACTTGCGCACAGACTCGCACTTCTATTTGGAGACGAGGACAGACATCATCTTTATTCCGCCGGCTTCTTGGAAACACTGCCCCCCCAGCCTCCAGCACACACTTCATCGTGTTTTTGTCCCTCTTTAGTCATTCTCTGCTCATCCTCCAGACACAAATCGTATACATTTAAAAAGACCCTCCTTCATCCTTAACTGATCCTCCCTTTCTCCTAACTGTCCCCCCCACCACCTCCTCTGTTTCCTTCAACCCCTCCCCCCCACACTGCCTCGGCTTTGCTTCGATCTCTCTGTTCTCTGTTTGCCACGGCGCAGATGGCTGGAGCAGCTGAGCAGGGCCAGAGGGGGAAAGAACGAAAACGAGGAGGGGAAGAAAAAAAGAGGAAACCAAAAAAAAGGGTCCATGTATCCTAAAACCCACATAGCTCGCGCAACAGGCTGCAACCGAAACACTGACTGGTAGCTGCTAAGAGTGACTCACGCTAACAAACTTCCAACTTTGGAGTCAGAAGAAGTGTGCTGACTTTTCCTCTTGTCTCAAAGAGTTCTACAACGTACATAGAAAATAGTGCTGGGATTTGATGAAAAGATGTATTCTTCGGATTAACTAAATGTAAAATTGCACGTTTTCAAAAAGTGTCCAAGAAAATGTTTTACTGTCTCAAACCAAATATCTGAAGTTTTCCAGTTTTTTTCAAATTCAGGAAGGTTTAAAGCAAGTCATTTTGTTTCAGACGTCATTTAGAAATGTTAACTGTAAACTGGTTGTGCTTCAGTGGAAGGATGATTCATGGTTGTAATGAGTAGGCCACATACTATCTTGGTTTTGTCCAAATGGCATTACTTTTCTGATTAATCACGTGTAAATGCTTTAACTTTAACAATCCTAGTATAAAAAGCACATAAGCTTTAGTTAGTACAATGTCTGCCGTTAACATTAGCGCTTCACTGTTTTGCTCTGACTCCATCATAGCCATCAACGCAATGACCTAACTCAACCAGGAAATAAAACCATGTCCGAGCCCAATTCCCTCCTCTCTCTTTAAAACTGCTCAGCTCCCCATCTTCCCACAGCAGGAGAAAGCATGTGGCCTCACTATTCATTATTCTACTCCTCTGCAAAGTTGCAAACGCTCGCTGTGTGTGTATGTGTGTGTAATAAATTCTGAGTGCATATATTCAGGGCCAGAAGAACATTTCTGGTTCCCTTGCAAGTTTCCAGACAGCTGTGAGGTTGCACTGCTCCTCAGCTCCACGTCATCAGGACAATCAGTCAGAAATAGGCAGTAAAACCAGACAAGAATGAACACTTCTGCTTTTTTTCCCCCCCCTCCATAAAAAGTGAAGGCAGAACATTCAATATTAATTCACTTCAGAGAGTTGATGAGACGGAAGAGCTACTGTTTAGGCTCCTGCCAAAGTAAATATCCCAAAGTTCAGTTTTGGGCTGATGTCTTCTGAGCGGACGTGTTACAATTCTCAAACTCTATTAAATTGTGCTTTGATATCTTTCAGCTATGAGATTAGATTTTAGGTTCAACCATTAGAACCCTGAATTAGGAAAATCAGGGTATTTTCCTAATTTAAGCAGAAGTCTAAGCTGAAATAATTTCAGCATTTTATCCCTAATTATAACCATTAGCAGAATAGGGGTGCACCAATTGAAGTATTCTGGCCGATTGCCGATTAATGATCTTGAAAAATCGGACCCATCACTTCATATTTTGGCCAATATATATATATATATATATATGTATATTTTTTTTGTCTGAAATGTCTAACTATATATAGCAAGAAAGCAGCATTAGGCTGGCTATTAAAAGCAAACGTGCAGACAACACTGGATGTTTTCAAGCAATTTCATCCAAATGTTCACTTTATGTTTGCCACCAGCAATGCTAAACAATTCAGTAAAAATGTCCAAACTGCAATTGCTTTCTATTCATCTGTTGTGGGGGTGATTTCGGAGGGGAACTTCCATCTTTCTGACCTGTCTTTCACACCAATAGAGGAACCAGAGTGTGTGGCGCGGCTTTTATTTCCTCTCAGCAGCCTCACTGAATCAACCACGGATTCAATGTTTTCTGGTTCACCGAAACTTGAACTGTCAGTGCTGCAGATGGTTCTAAAGGAAGACAATGGGATTGAAGTGTTTCATTTTTATTATTATGCAAATATTTGTTTAAACATTTAACAGTTTGGTATTATACAAAAAAAAATTACTGAAAAACCTGACGTGGAATGGAGAAACACTTTATAGCCCAGGAGATAAAACACAAGCTGCCACTGTCAAACCATTAGGGACAGAGTGCAGTCAACGACCCAAGACAGAACGTGTTATGACTCGAAACAGATGGTTTTTTCAGCCACATTAAGTTTCATTTAATGTTTACATTTAGTAATGTTGCTCAGCGTTTAAGACATTGATAGTCATAAGCAGTGAGAGTTACTACCAGTGGGTTTAAAAGAAATTATTTCAGGTCAGCTAACAGTTCACAAAAATCATAGTTTTTTTTTTTTTTTTTTTGGAATTTCTGAAGCTTTTAGGAACAGTTACAGTGATAGACTGAAAAGTAAGTCAGCCCAGACTCAGAATGAAGTGGTTCTGCAGAGAGCGGTACAGGCAGCCAGCTCTGTTAATGCCCAGTGACAGCAAGTCAGAGTCCATCAGTCAGAGTTTGGAAAAGACTGGAAATGAGAAAGCAAAGTATGCTCAGCTCTGTCCAGAGAGTGACTGGCAAGACTGGATTGATTTGCATGCATTTTGAGAATGCTGCAGCCAGCTAACCATTAGCATCTCTTAGCATCCCCCTTCAATGAATTCTATAGGCACTTATCTAAAGGCCTGGTTCACAATTTGTAATTTATCGTTTGTTTTCTCGATCACCTCTACATCAAAATCTAAAACATTTGCACTGAGCAAAGTTGAAATGTACAGTCATGACACTAAATAAAAAATTCTACTAGGAAAATGTAAGGTTAATAAAAAGTTTATTAAAAAAAAAACAGTGCAATGTTTTTGCAGGTTTAACAACTCAAACTGAAGACTTTTTATGATCATTATGAATGAAATTTAAGATTTGTGTCACAACAGAGGTTCACAGGAGAAAAATAGCATATTTTGCGTTGTTGTCTACAACCTTAACCCCCAGGGTGCCACGCTTTTTGC